AAAGGTGATTCTATCTGACTACTAGTTTATTCAGTTTACTCAGAGTGTTTGTGAGGTTCTTCAACTGAGGGTCAGGACGCCGCAAAAATTGGGTCGACTAAGTCTCACCAATGCACAGAGAACCTTGAAAAGGAGATTGTGTGCATAATTGAATGTGGCAGGCAAGTAGTTGACCAAGATGTAAAAGAATAAACAACAGCTTGTACTTAGTTATTGTCAGTAGCGTGTACATATGCGATTTGTCTTCCGTGTCGCCTTAACTAGAGCCCCTAAACGACTAACCAAACGCGATAAACTCTGTTTCGTCAAAGTCTGCAGTAAACGAAGACCGATGGATTAACGTGGGGTTAAAATCATTTTCCATTCGGAAAACTAAATTGGAAAAGCTTAAACATTAAACTCGTCCGTCTAAACCATCCAGATCGAAGTCCGTGACGTGCAGCCCCAGGTTGTTTAGCGGGGAAGGATGGATAGTTACATAAGTTGGCTAATAGGAGGTTGTGGAGGTTAGAACAGGAACTAACAGAGAGCTATTTATGCCATCCTTGATTCTATATTAGGTACCAGCAAGCCGTCAGAAGTACCACAGCATTTGCAGCAATCTACGGGCGCGTTTTTTTCTGGCTCATGGAACTCCAACTCGGGAGGACTCACCACCGAAGACCCCCGCTTTACGGCTCTAAGCAGATTTATGTATTTCAAATCAATATTTTCATGCGGTTCCTGCTAAAAACTCTCCTGTACCAACCACATGAATGGATCTCCCTGACACTCGAAATAGTCAGTCGATTTAACAGTGTTAGGACTGATCGAAACGAAAAGTAAACATGTGACCACGTTTTAATTATTAAACGAACTCTGTCCCTTCATTTCTTTCAGGGTCGCAACGTATCAGACATGGCCTTCAACGTTCAAAATAAAGACATCTTAGCAGTGGGATATGGCCAGTTCGTCTACGACCAACAACGTTCTGGTCTAGTCTGCTGTTGGAGCCTGAAGAATGTATCCTACCCAGAACGCGTTTACCAGACGCCAAGTGGTGTTACTGCCGTTGCC